CATGAAAGTAAAGCAGAGTAGATACCCGTCTCTATTCACCACTGTAGACCATTCACGCTACACCGAAATATAGAAACATTCACCAGTATGATTCACTGCCATGAGTCTATTTAAGAGGCAAACTTACCTACTGTTAATCCTGAAACTGGATATCAGGTCAAATTCCATGCTCACCCAACACACACTCTCTCCATATTGACTAAAAGCTCACTTTCCTCGCAACACTTGAACAAAAATGCCGGCAAGAACATTGAAGCAAACTTTTTATGAAAACCTCACGGTTTACCCCGAAGCCAGGGTACCTAACAACTATCGCTCACTCGGGAAAGAAGCCGACGAACAGGTTGAATGTATGATCGTGATTCCAGATCCATTGATAACCCGAGCACAAAGTTATCTATCTCGCATAACAGCCTCTCCTGCAACAGCGCTCAACTCCCTAGCACTCCTAATTGACGATACAATCAACTTTCGGACGGAAGCCGACGTGCTCAGGGCTAGCTGCCTCGAGCTGTTATACCCCGTCAACAGCGCCCTGACAGAGGGTCTCGGAAAGGGCGAGCGGATCTTTTGTGGAGGAGAGCGCAAAATGAATACTAGCCGCGTTGACCTGAGATGGTCATACCAAGCAAATGAGAACGCCGAATCACACGTCTTTGCGGTTCTGGAATTCAAAAATACCCAGAACTATTCACCCAAGGGACTTTCGGCCTGCATTTTCGGAGGGTGATGAAATCAAGCATAAGTTGTATACGCAGATGAGGCACAATGCAACAAATATAATGGAACAAATCATGAAGTATCTCAGAGATTCGAAGGCTCTGTTCCTGGCCGTGTTCGACTGGAACACTATGGGAATCTTCGACTTCACGGGGTATAGACCTCAATCACGGACACCTGGCAATCCAACCTTTACCTCAATGAGAGAGACCGAATTTGGGCCCCATGTCCATGAAACGCATCGACTCCTGCTGCTGGGATTTCTGTTGAAAGCCCTGGAGTGGCAGAGGGCGCGGTAGCCGCGAAACTAGCATCGGCAGGATCAGCAGAAGTCCGAAATTGCGGTTCCTTTTTCGTTCCTTTGTATTTTCTTTTGTTCTTCTCTCTCTCTCTCTCTCGTTTTCCAGCTTGTTTTAGACTGTTTTTTTGCTTCTTGAGATTGAATGACATGCTGGGTAGTTGGCCGGCAAGGAGGTTGATAGAAATAGAACTCACTTACTAGAGAGAAAGCTCACTAGTTCGTCCTTGATGTTTGCACTGTTTGCATCCTAGCAAGAAATCCAACTTGATAGAATCGAAACATCCAAGATAAATAACCAGCTACAACTAGTCGACTGTCTCCCAACCCTCCTATCAAGTTCAACAAGAGACGAGACGGCGGTCCTAGAGCTCTGCTGGCCGATCTGATACCATTGTCTGCCAATCAACTAGTTACATCCGATGCAACAGGTATAACCGGCCGACTCCAACACACAACTGCCCACAGCAGCACCAGCGGCATCACACATCGACGCAGCGTGTACAGCCCAGCATGGCTCAATGCAGACCATACAGCTGTCTGCGGCGGTGCATGTCTCTATCTGACGCTCTCCCGCCTCGCACGAGTCCCAATGGCTTGCTCCCAGCCATACACAGCCAACGACGGAAACACTCAACTACACCTCCTCCTCCTCCACCACCGCCGCACTCTTCTTCTTCTTCCTCCTCCTCGGTATCTTCAGCGGAAATGACACATTTCGCGAGCCTGGCGAGTACATGGTGGGACCCGCTTGGTCCTTCACGCATATTACATCTGATGAACCCGCTGCGACATGACTTCATCGCCTCGTGCGTTGGCCAGCAGCAGCAGCAGCAGCAGCAAGCCCAGGACCATGGCCAGGACCAGGTCCAGAAGGGCGGCGGCGGACTACGTTATTTAGACGTTGGTTGTGGAGGAGGGATATTCGCCGAGTCCCTTGCCAGGACGATACACACGCCCGGAACAAATACCAATGCGTGCTCTCTTCTCGCTATCGATCCGTCACCGGTAATGATCGAACTAGCCCTCTCACACGCCAGGAAGGATCCAACGCTGCACCAACATCTTCGCACCGGCGCATTTGAGTACCGCAATACATCGCTGGAGGACCTCACGGCTTCGGCTTCGACGGCAGGGAAATTCGATGTAGTCACGCTGTTCGAGGTGCTGGAGCATGTTGATCCGCACCACTCGTCGCCGCGGGCGTCTGTGCAGCGGTGTCTTGATCTCGTGGCGCCGGGCGGGTGGCTTGTTGGCTCGACGATTGCGCGCACCCTGCCTGCGTATGTGGTCAATCAGGTCATTGCCGAAGCGCCCTGGCCGATCGGGGTGGTGCCGCGGGGCACGCATGAATGGAGCAAGTTTGTGAATCCCGAGGAGCTGCGAGGGTGGGTGGAAGGGGAGGGTGGTGGTGGTGAGTGGAGGTGTGTAGGGGCGATGTATGCGCCTGGGATGGGATGGCGGATGGTTCCTGGGGCGGAGTCGTGGGGGAATTATTTCTGGGGGATCCGGCGGGGAGGAAAGCAGGATTAATATTAAGATGATGCATGCATGTATGCAAGATGTATAGTAGATGTATTATTAGTTGGGAAGTAGCTGAGCTTAGGATGTAGAGGATCTTCATTAGCTATAATATATAAGGACTAGATAGAGAGGTGCGAACAAGCAGACAGCCGACTTGGAAAGGAACAACAACAAGTAGCAGTATCAAGAGTAACGGATAAAGTAAGTAACGACGATGCCACTGCTCCAGCTCCGGCTCCTGCTTAACGTAATGTGATAATGCCGATGAGAAAAGCAGCTGAAAAACTCGTAGACGGGAAAAAAGGATGGATGTAAGATGGAGAGCCGTTGGACAGATAGGAAAGACATCAACACAAGACGCAGAGGTAAGGAAATTAAGGAAATACGATAGATGGGAAATAGATAAGACATAGGAAAGAAAGGAAATATGGAAATAGGAAAGATAGTAGGAAATAGGAATAGATGGTAGGAGATGGGGGAATGCTATTATGAGGATATTTTTAGCGGTAGGGGGAAGGGGGTGGGAGGGGAGGGGAATGGGCTCAGCGAAGAGCAGAGGGTATCTCTATAGGCCGGGGGATTGACATAGGGAATTAAGATGAGGAAATAAGAGAATAAGAGAAAAATCTGCTAATAATACTGTCACGGAAGCAAGGGTTTGGTTGAATTCGCTTCGACTGGTTTGAGGTCGTTGCGGTGGGCGGGTGTTAGAGCTCGAGCTTCGGTTTCAGCTCGTAGTTCTCTGGCTCGGACGATTGAGGTCGTCGCGGGAAGAACATGTGCGGCGTTATGCTGCCTGGGTATTGGTGGTTTGATGGCTCAGGGTAAGGATATTCCGGGGCAGAGGCCGAGCTGGGCGAGGGCATGCTGCTTAGTGTTGGGGAGGCCCAGCCGACAGAAGAAAGATGGGGGCTACCGGCAACGCTGTTTGGTCTGGGATCGCTGTTTGCAGGCGGTTCGAGGGGCTGCGGGGGAGCGTAGCCTGACGGGTGCGAGGTGAGAGACGGTCTGTTGTGGTTGTGGTGGTGGTGGAAGGAGGCGGGACCGGGAGAGGCTGGTGAGGGTTGGCGAAGGGGAAGTAGGCGAGGCGCGAGGGACTGGAGTTTTGCAAAGGTCCGTTCTGAGATGGGGCGGAGAGAGGTGTAGTAGTCTGCAGCACCACCGGCGGAAAGTAGGGGCCGCCAGCCGCTGGTTGGGCGGGAGGAGAGGTTAAGGGGAGAGAGAAGGGCGCTGGGCGGGCGAAGGAGTAGAGTGAGCGGAGCCCGGTTCATAGTACTCTGAGGGTCTGCTGGTGGTGGAGCGGTCTTTGCTGTGACGGAGGTTTGCTTCTGTCTCAGCGGCGGCCTCTTCAATGGTGCCGGTGTGGTGGTTCTGGTGGCGGGTAAGGGTGGTGCGGCGGGTGAATGTCTTTTGGCAGTTGGCGTATGGACACTTGTATGGCCGCTTGCCGGAGTGGATTCTGCAGTGTCTGGCGAGCGAGGAGGACTCGCTAAAGGGCTTGCCGCAGCGATCACACATGTGCGGCTTTTCACCGGTGTGGACGCGGGTGTGGACGGTCAGGGCAGAGCGCTGGATGAACTGTTTACCGCAGCCGGGCCAGTCACACGCGTGCGGTCGAATCCCACTATGAATGCGCTCTATTGACGTTAGTAACTTATATTAAAGATATAAAAAGTATGGGTAAGTCTTACCATGCCTGGCGAGGTCGCTTCTCCTGGCGAATCCCTTGCTGCAGGTCTGGCAGTGGAAGGTCTTGAGGGCAGGCAGGCCAGTCGGTCTCATGCTGGTGGTACTCCTGCCGTAGTCTGAGCCATGCGCGCTGTGAGCGTAGCCCTGGGAGGTGCCGGCGTGGTTAGCCTGGGCCTGGACGTGGTACTGGGCGAGGTGGGCCATCTGCGGCAGCGACTGGGTGGACGAGGGGAAGCTGGAGGTCGGCTGGTGGTGGTGGTGATGGTGGTGGTGTTCGCTGGGGGGCGCAGAGGCCGAACGGTGGTGCTCTGAGGCGCCGAGCTCAGAGGGCGACCTGGACTTTACGGCATCGTCTGTCTGCGACTGCGACTGTGACTGCGACTGTGACTGTGACTGGGGCCTGGGCGAGGTGCTGCTGGAGCTGGTGGACGTCTGCAGCGACGATGGAGACGGAGGCCTTTTTGTTTAGTATAGTGGTTATATCCATGATGTGGCCACTACCCAGGGTAGAAGTCTGTCGAGAGGCGTAGGCTCCCGGATCATATACTAATCTGTCAACGATATCTCCTGATATATAAAGTGAAAGAGACGAAATACCTTGATAGTTGGACAATGTCTTGTTGGAGCGGCCAGATGCAGAGCCCCTATAACACGAGCGACGCTGTCGATGCTATTCCTGTCTCTGGCAGGGTCTGACGGTAGCGGATGCAGTGCAATGCCCGCGAGCACGAGTCAGGCGGCGTCTTTGATTTCCTGCTGGCCTGCGTATTGCGTTCGACGGCTGGCTGCGTCCAGAGGCGTCCGTCAAGGTCAAGGGTCGCCCGGCCGACTGCAGAGACGATGTTGATGCAGTGTAAGTAAGAAGTAACAAGGTGAAGTCGAATGAGAGATCCCGCCCCGTCTAGCCTCTATCCTCGTGAGTCGTGGGTCGTCAATGCAGCCAGAGCCGGTCTATATAAGAGTATAAGAGTATAAGAGTGTATCGAGTGTATATGGAGTGTTATAAGAGAGGTCGTGATGGTCGTGGTCGTGTCTTCGTGTGGGAGTTTTATTTGTTTAGTGGGGAGGAAGAAGCCGAAGTCGGTGGCGAGAGGCTAGAGGCGTCAGTAAGCAAGTGAGAGAGCAGTGAGTAGACAAGCAGAGGCAGCAGTGATGGATCTTGTATTGTATTGTGTAGTTGTTGTTGTAGTTGTTGTAGTTGAAGCTGATGGTGATGGTGATGGTGATGTTGGTGATGTTGACGCTGGCAGGTCGAGTTCAACAGCAACAACAGCAACAGCAGCACAGACAGTAGAGCACAGTAGAGTA